TTAAAGGGCCAAATTTTGCAGGCTTAACAGGTTATAGCACAAGTAGTCCAATTCATATTATAAACAATCTCATTGAAGAGACTAGAGAAAAGAATAAAGAAATATAGATACTCTTCCAAGATATGAAGAAAGCATTTAATTTAGTCAGCCTCATTATACTCGAAAAAGTATTTAAGAAAATCAAAATTTCAGACAGTACAACTAAATTTTTGCTAAGCCTTTTCTATGCAAGAGAAATAAAAGTTTTAACTAGCTATAATTTAATGCAAAGGTTCTTAGCAGAGAATGGCCTGGACCAGAGTAAGGTAGTATCTCCTTTGCTCTAGTGTATTTTTTATAATCTACTACTCTGCACAATTCAGAACAAGGAAAAGCTTAGCTATGAAATGAGTTTAAAATAGCCAATAAATCTGAGCTATAACAAAACTCAAAAACATAGTTGGAGACAAGGTGTACTAGTATATGCAGATGATATGACTTGGATTGCAAAGTCAAAGAAAGAGCTATTAGAAATTATTAGAATATTAAATGAATTCTATGATCTAAACAATATTGAGATCAATGGAAAAAAATTAGAACTCCTGGTAATCAACTATAAGCAAACTAAAAGAAATAATAACTCAGATTTTGCAGTAAGAGTTAGCAAGAACAAAGACATCATATACACAAAAAGAAGTATAGAAGCTATCAGATATCTAGGAGTCTAGATATCTGAGAAAGGAAGTAGTGAGTGCAATATTAAAATCATTAAAAGAGAAGTAGCTAAGATATGCAAAGCAATCATTCTTAAAAGAGCATCAGCAAGTTAGCTTACATATTTGAACAATAACATCCTGCTTCCTAATATTGAATATAGACTGCAAACTTCATTTCTATTGAAAGCAAAATATGATCAAATTCAGAGACCAATTTGGTCACTTATCAAAAACAAACTTGAGCTTGCGAAGTCAGCTGCTAATAGTATCTGTAGTCATATGAGTATGTTAGGGCTTAGATCTATTTGGCAAAATCAAATAGCACATCATTATACTGAACTGACACTATGACTAAACCAAGATGAAGGAATAGATATTACAATGCAGCTTAGACTTAAAGATGCTTAACTAAAATGCAAGTCTAAATTCAGCCTGCTTGACGAAAGATATAATTTCAAAATAAACAAGATGAAAAACAATTTATCATATAATATAATTAGTAATACAGCAAAGCTTAGCTTTAGATTTTAAGAGATACTGAGAAATACAAACAACTTAGAGATAGATAGATTAGAAATAAGTGAGCTACTAGAAGGCAAACTATTGAATAAGTTTATAGAAAGCAAAAGTCTAAACTTATTCACAGTAAACCAGCTTCTAGAAGAAAAAGGCAAATATATACTCTAATAGTAACAGATTAAATTTCTAAGAAAAAGCAAAATGAGAGGTCGAAAGCCAAACTGGTTCAAAGAATTAGAAGCAAAGGTTATAGAAGATAGTTCATCAAGTGAAGTTCAAAAGGACTTTCAAACACAAGATACAAATTGGGTCATACTTAAAGTAGAAAAGCATAATATAAATATAGACAAGAGAAAGAAAGAATGAGTTATAATAAATAGAAGCTACACTATATTAATAGAAAAAATATTAAAGAAGATGAAAGAAAAACTTGTGTTAGCATACTAGAAAGTAGATGAGAATAGTAATAACTTGCAAACAAGGCTGTATCAGTGTAGAGAATATAGTTTAGATCGCAAAAATAATATAGAATGTATTATCACAGAAAATGCAAACAAACGACATCAGTTTTTAAGTGGAGTTGTAAAGAGAAATGAAGGTTTAGTAGAGACAAAGGTCCCACTATCATCTTTCCTAAGATATGTTTCTGATAAGATAACAGAGTATAATAATACACAAGATAGTATACAAATCAGAATAGCAAACTTAGAAAAATGATAATACAAAAAGTAATAGGTGAAAAAAGTATTCAGATAGAGCTTATAGATATTGCAAGAAAAATTAAAAAAAGGAGGAAATAAATATTTATACAGATAGTTCATTAGTAAATAGAGAGTCAGATAGCCTAGATTATGGTAAAATAGGAATAGAATAAGTAATAGCATATGAAGAAACAGATATCTCTAATAGTATTAGTTTTAGTAGTAGTTTAGTAGACTAGCTCTCATTAACACATGCTGAACTTGGTGCAATTTGAACAACAGCTTTAGTAATACCTTGTAACTCAGTTCTAAACATTTTTACAGATAGCAAAGCAGCTATAGAAGGTTTGCAAAGTACAAAACCAGCAAGTACTGTACATAAAGTTTTTAAAATTAAGAATCGTAGTCTGATACGACAAATTAAAGATTGCTACAAAGCAAAATACATCAGCCTCAATCTAACAAAAGTTAAAGGATATAATAATAACCTTTAGAATGATAGAGCAGATACTTTAGCAAAGAAAAGTCTGAGTTCAAATGCATTCATCATAGCTAAAGATATGAATACAGATAATTTAAATGTCCTTCTTAAATAGGAAGATAAGCTTATAGACTGCTCGATTAGATCCTTTGTAAATATTACAATAGTAATAACATACAAAACAGAATGAGCAGAGCTTAGTAGTTTAAAGGATTTAATACATATCAAATCAGAAAGTAATAGTGGTGAAGACATCAACTGGAAAAGCCTATGGAGCATGCTCAAAAACTATCAAGGCAGAAAATGCACTAGTTTAAAAAGAAGCAAAATACTAATGTTTAGAATAAAATGCCTAAATAAGCTATTACTAACACATAATATTTGTTTTCAAAGAAGACCAGATCTTTACAAAAGAGAAACATGTATAGCATACTGTGTAACTAAAGAAATATTTAGTCATCTTGCAGAATGTGTTATTTATTAAGAGATTTGGAATCGTATAGAAATAATAATTATAGAAGAGGTTGGATACAAGATCTTAAACAAGTGGGATCTATCGATAATGAGTGAAGACTTAGCTAAGATCTTTTTAGAAGTTGTACCAGAAGAAAAAGTTTAAAGAAGAAAGTTATATCTTTGTAGTATAACTAACAAAAAATATATCAAAGAATTAAAAGACCTCTTGGTATCTAGTTCCAAAGCAAATCATATAGTAAACTAGTTTATAAACTCTTTTTGGTCTAATTTCTATAAAAGACTATGGAAATTTCACTGTGAAGTTATGACAAACTGGAAGAAAGGAAAAAGAATTAATTTTTACATAAAAAAGAGAAAACTAAGTAAAGAAGAAAGAAGGAATATAGAAAATAAAGAAAATATCCTAGTCTCAAACTTGCAGGAAAAAGAAACATATTCAGATAAAGAGAAAAGAATACTTAAGGCAGCAAATAACAAAGTTAAAAATTGGATTCAAAAAGGGGAGTATGAGAAATAGTTTAAATTTAAAAACAAGTAACTAGATGTTTTTGATATGACTAGTTGTAGCCTTCTTTTGATCAAAACTAAGTTCATATACTTCAATATATACTTGGTTCTAGGAGAAAAATTTGCTGCTGCAGCAGATCGCACTTGGACACCAAGTAGGCAGCTGAGTGAGTCTAGAATTGCAAAAAAGAAGGCAGTCTTAAAATTAGTTTAGTTTTAATTTTATGTATTTGTTATAGTACTTATTTAGTATATCTCTTAATAAAATGAAGAGCAAGATCATCTAAGTATAAAAAAAAAAAAAAAAAAGTATTTAGATAAATAACTTACAAATAGATTACAAATATAGTAGCTTAGTATAAAACTAATTAGAATATAGTTAGTTATATACTCATTATATATGACTCTGTAAACCAAATAAAATAAATACTAAAAAAATAAAAAAAATTAATATTTAACAAATTACAAAATAATCTATAATTTGTATTTTAATAGAAATTAATATATATTTACTCTAATATTGAAAAAATAGTTTGTAAATTTTAATAGGTTCATAAACTATTATTAATATCAAAATATTATTTAAATATTTATTTGAACAAAATACTTCATATTAAATTATTTATAGGAAAAAATTTTATTAAAATAACAATAGTTCTTTTTTAAACAAAAAATATTCCTGTATTATATTTAGTTTAAAAAAACAATTTTTACAATACCATCGATTTTCTTCTTTTTTTTTTAGCGTTTAGCAATATAAACCACTCTAATTCTAAAAAAAAAAAATTTTTTTAATAAATAAATATATTAAAATTTAAAAAATTCAATTATAACCAATTTTATGTTACATTTCAAACTAAATTTGCTCTGAATTTCAAATAGTTTAAGGAATAGTAAAGTGATTAAGCTAAGAAAAAAAAAATCTTCTTATAGCTTATTTCGAGAGAATACTATATAAACTTTATTATATCGAGTGAAGAGTTAATAATAAATTTTCCTTATATTAAGATCTTCACTATATCGAGAGTTCACTATAACAAGAGTGACTTGTATAAGTTTTTATATACAAAATTTTTTAAATGAAATTTTAGAGTTAGAGCTTAAAATTAGATTTAGGGTTAGGGAGGCGTAGAACATTTTTACTTAAACTATCTCCTACCTATTACAGTAATCAACTAGTTTTTGAAATATTAAATAGATAGATGTAAAACACCATAGATGCGTTTTAGTAAAAGTGTTAACAGTAATAATTTAAGGCGGTTGGATTGAAGCTTTGACTAGAAAATTTTTTAAACTCAAATTTTTCAAGTTGAAAATTATTAAATCGTTTCAAAATTATATAATTATTTATTAAGTAATAATTTAACTTTGTGTCTTGTAAATCTTTACATGACAGAAAGCTTACAACTTGTTTGCTTATATTTAAAGATTTAAAAAGTAATAATAATATAAAAGCAAAAAAGAAACGCTATTAATATTATACAAAAAAAAAAAAATACATATCTTTAGATATCCAAGAAAAATTTTTCTATAAGCAATACCAATACACTCAAACATATAAATAAATAATTATAACTAATTATAAAAATCTTTTATCAAAGGTTTTTGTACACTTTAGTTTCAATCAGTTTTTTTAGAAAGAGGTGCTTTTTCGCTACAATCTTCATCACTAGTTGTATAAAATTAAAATTTAGAGAATAATAGAGAATAAAAATAAAAATAAAAATATTTTTTGAATATATATAAACTTACTTTTCAGAATCACTTCTAGAATCTTCAGCAGTTTGCCCATTAGCAACTTTCCATGCAATTCGCAAGATGAGAATAAACCAATAAATCATTAAGATTTGTAATAATAACATTCCAAATAAAATAATGTATTTAGACCACCATGTAAGCCAATAACCATTTAGCGGGTCCCAAATACATTCATTATTTTCAGGAAGACAGGAATCAGCCCATAGAGAATAGGCGACTATTCCATATAAATAATGTCGAGCATATACCCATATTATCATAAAATTTATAAACGATATGTTGGTAACGAATCCAGGTAAATTTAGGTATTTCATACATTTTGACAGCTAATAATTGATAGACAACGAAGATCATTAGCAATTGACTACACCTTTACTTATTATGGCAATGATTCGAGGTCCACAATTTGATTAGCTTTCAAATATTTATGTCAAAAGTAGACTTAAATTTATACTTTTGAACAATATTGACTTTAAACCATTATATTTTATTATTACTTACCCCTAGCCAAATATCAGAAAAATCCATTGTAATAAATACAGCATTTCCGGTTCTTGTAAAATTGGATAAATAACTACCACCAATCAGTAGGATTGTAATAATATGATGAGCAATTAATTGTAAAAGGTCTTTACGAGGTCTTTCGATTTGTAGGACTAAGACCACAATTTGTTGAAGCCAAAATGCAAATTGGATAAGGTAATAAGATTTTGCAAGATATGTTAATTCATAATGAGGGTAACCAACCCAAAGATGCTTTGTTTCAAAAAACCAGTATGGACTGTTACGCATTATAACCTGAGAAATATAAAAGAATATTAGTTTTTTTTTTTTTTTTTGACCATGAAAATAGGTTGATGCAAGTCCTTAAAAAAAGGTATATGCAATATAATTACGCGTTGAGTCGCGCACATATATTCGATACAAATATTTAACAAAGTAATATGACCATGAAAAATATTATAATTTGAATCAATTACTCACCAAACCAACTGAAGCTGCTATAATATAATATATAGTGACATAACCTTGTTCCATAAATCGGACGATTTTTCTCTCGGATTTAATGCCACCCCATATTGCAATAGGTCTTAATATGTACCACATAATGCACTCTCTAATTAACGTGAAAACTACCACCCAAAAAGTGATGTAGGCAAAATCCCAATATCCTTTTCCATAAAGAACTGAAATATTTCCATCAGAGTCGGTTTTGTATATATGATACGAGATGAAAAGGAACTTTGAGAAGGGATTTTGTGGGTCTGGTGACACTAAATACGAAGCAAGAATTGCACTTATTATTTTTAAAGGTAATTCTAGAACATGATGGGAAAAATAAGTTGAAATATTTGTTAAATAATGAATAAGTTGAAAAAAATGAGATGATAAAAATAATACCAAGAATCAAGAGAATGAGAAGAATACATCCAACTTACCAATTTGTCGTTCAGCAATATAATTCTTAAGCCCCAAGGATGATGGCTTTCTTTTTTCATCTTGGATCGACATTGGATGTTTTATATTTCCTTTATGTTTTAATAATATTTAATAATTTGATAAATTTTAAAATAACCTTTATTTTATTCAAGAATCAAAAAATGAGTAAAAACATAAATGTAAAAAAAAAACGCACGAAAGGCATGAATTTCTAAGAGGTTTAAAAGTGTATGTTAAGTTTCTCGGAGTCTCCAATCAAATATTAAAATAATCAAAAGGATCGGCACTAAAATCTCCAAAAAAAACTTCGGCGTGGACCCTTTATCAAAAAAACGAGATGATATGTAACAATCAACACTGCCCATCAAGATGGCTCAGCTTAACGAATTAAGCAAGTTTGTGAACAAGTTCTTATACTAGCGCTAGGTCCCATGTAATTACGTACTAACAAGATTATCAATGAGTGTAATCTTAAATAAGTGTAGTGTAACAAAAAATAATTTTAGTAATCGATTAAATCTTATATCTATGGTTGTTATTTAGGGCATAGCAGCGATCATTACACGAAAATTGTCTTAAACATTAATTTTGAATGCCAGATTTGCATGTGTAATTCTTTTTTTGGTATACACATTAAAATAAAAGCCATTATCATATATGCACTTACCCCACTTATACTTGCCGTCAAATCTCAACCCAAACTTTGGCCAAATTAATAAAGTCGTTATGGCTGTTTTCTTTGTATCACTTGTACAAATACGATTAAAAAGATCCTTTTTTTATAATACCCCCACGTAAAAATTCTGCTCTTTTAAATTCCTATTGTAAACTGCACTTAAAATTTTTCTTTTTTGCAATAGAGGTCTTCTGCCATAAAGTATTTTACAAATTTTGTTATGTATTTTATATTAGATTTATAATCAGCGCGATACGGTAAATACATGTTCACATAAATACTTTCTTCGTGGTCCCCACGACAGTGAATTTGCAATTGTGTGGCGCGCAAAATAACAAACCTCTGTGCAAATCAATGATTTTCTGTGTTCCTTTTTGGTCGAATTCTGTGTTATTCTGTGTTATTACAGTATTGCCGGATTTTGTTCTGTGATTTACTGAGATAATTTTTTTTTAATCCCGGAAAAAAATACCACGCTCGAATTTTATGTTCTCTGATTTTCTAAATTCCAAATTTTATATTTGATTTTTTTCGGATTCTTTGTTATTTTGTGGCATTCTGTGGGGATTAGAGTCAATTTCTGTGATTAGCTGGTTTTTTGATATGATTCTGAGTGTTGTTGGCGTGTTGGATCATATGACTTTGGACTTCGATCCGATACTAAAAGTCAAAACATTCATGGAATAAAGGGCAATGTTAAAAGTGATAAAGCATAACATTGGAATTAGGATGGCAAATGTTTTTTTACTGTATTACGTAATTAAAAACAGATAGTTTAAATCCAGTATTCGGGCTTTAATCATCACATTTTAATTCGGTGACAAAATCCATCCCTAATTAGAATTATCTACGGTAGTATTTAGAGTATCGGTATTGCATTAAAATCTCAATGATAACGATAATTGATTTGCATTAGCCAATCAAATAAATTTATGCATGATATTTTCAGTCAAATAGTTTCATCCGTCTATGCTATATAAATATACCGATTTAAATAATGTCATCAAATCTTTTTATCTCATTTACAAGAACATTCAAAGCGCCTCCTTATCATTTTCAATTTGGATGGACTACAATAACATGTATCCAAGGAACTCAGTATCGTCATTTTTCGTCATTTCCAGATTCCCTTAATAATACGGATCTCAGCAAGTACAAGTTCAAACAATTTACATTTAATTTTTGTTAATTTATTAATTTTTTTTTTTTTTTGTAGAATCGAATAATTCTTCTGCTTCTGATCCTCATTTAAAAATTATGCAGATTCTTCGTGAATCGTCTGCAATGAGTAATTTAATGTTAAAAATATAGTTGATATATCGTAAAAAAGAAATTGTATTAAATTGTAATATTGATTTTTTCACAAATTATTTTAGATGATCCAATTCAGGGTTTCGATACACAGATCAAATACGGACGAATGTTTCGTGCGGGAGAGGTAAGATTTACATCTATCAGCATTTATAATTTTGGAATATTCAATAATATTCAATTGTATATATATATATTTTTTTTAGGTATATGCTCCACATGATCTCAATGAAGAAAATTATAAAGATAAAAATCCACGAAAATTTCAAAAGTTGCTACCAAATACCGATGTATTTGAAAGATTGGGCCTTGATCCTTTGAAAGAATATAAGGTAAATATCTTTAATATTTGTAATTACTTTTAGGTATCAATTAAAACTCTTCATAATTTACAATTTGATAATACTTTTCTTGTCGTTTAAAATTGGTATTATTATTTTTTTTTTAAACACGTAGAATTTTAGATTGTTATCAAATTTTGTCTCTGATATGGGTAGAATTCTTCCAAGGAGGACTACAGGTTCAGATAATTTTATGCAATTAAAGTTAATGTTTCATAGCAAAAATTCAGTCTTTTATAAAATAATTTAGGTCTATCAGCAAAAACTCAAAGAAAATTGGCCAAAGCCATCAAACGTGCTCGCTCATTTGGTAAAATTGCCTGAAATGTAATAAATAAATATTTTATTTATTTTAATCAAGATTAAAGATTCTTTCTTTTTGCAGGATTAATTCCATCAACTCATAGAAGGTCTGATGAAATGGATCATGCTATATTTCCTACAGGATCATCTAAGGCGAAATGGTTCCTTTGATCATTCAAATTTTTTCATATCATATATATAACAATTTTTTATTATTATTAATTTAGGTAAGCCTTAAAGCAAAAATATTGTTTTTATTATATACCTAAATATCAATATGTTAAATTCTATACGTAATTGCATAGAGTTTTTTTAAGTGTATTTGAAGATTTGAATTGAATTTATTATTATATTTTACAAAATATAATAAATTTGTAAAAAGCTTTTAGAAATTATATAATAAACTTTTAAATTTTTACTAACAATTTATAATCACTTATATTTACAATTAGATTTAATTTTACAGTAAATAATTTAATTAATTAATTAAAATTTAAATAGATCGCAACTTCTTTATAATAACTTTATAAAAAAAATTTTTTAAGATTACTATCGTACAATTTATTAAAATTGCAACTTAATCGATTGTAAATCTATTTTTAAAATGACACTACTATCCAGATTAAAATTGTTTTATTTTATCTACTAGTACTATATAGTAATAGGAAAATCACCTTCGTGATTTTCCGAAAGGGCCAATTCGGAAAGACTTAGACCAGAATACCGGTTCTTATTTATATGTAAGTCGTCTTTTACCTTTATCGATGCAATAGTTTATTTAATAAACTATTATATCGGCAAGGTAAAAGATGATTTGCATATAAATAAGAACTGGTATTCT